ATGACCCATCAGTACCTCTGCTAGGTATTCACCCAAAGAATATGAGAACTCCAATAAAAAGACTTTTGTACTTCTATGCTCATAGCAGCACTGTCCATACCTGCCAAGTCATGGAACCAACTTAGTTGCCCATCGACAGATGATTGGTAATGCAATCGTGGAATATATACCCAGGGACATAATATTCAGCACTAGAAAAGGGGAAATAGTGCCTTTGGGGATGAAATGTATGGAATTTGAGGTGATTACACTGAGGGAAATAGAAAGTGCAAGAAAGATATTGGGTGGTTTGACTTCTCTGTGAAATATATAGAACCAGGAAACAGATAGTGACAAAATGCAGCTAAAACAAATCTTAGACTTGCTGAAAAAATTTGCTGGTTACCAGAGAGAAGAGAGGGGAGAAAGGAGGAGATGGAAAAGGAAGGGGATAAGACATTGGTATCACAGGTTTGGTGCACAATGAGTGGAGCTTGTGGACATATGGAGGAGTAAAAATGTAACCCCAATGTTAGAGAAGCAGGTAAATGACAAATTTAGAAATAGTGAAAAAATAATGGGATCCCTGTCACCAGTACATATTCTTAGCGTTTCATAATTTGCTTCTAACATTGTTAGGGTGAATGGATGTCCTGAGCAAACTCCATACAGGCTTTGTGGATGCCACCCCCACTCCATCAAGACACTGGGAATTACAAATCCCATGATCCCCAAAGGGACGTTGTGAGGACCTAATGGTGGAGTTAAGCAGCCATTTTCTCAGTTTGTAAATAAAAACCAGCCATGTTAGTGGGGTTGGAGGCTGACTTGGCTCCTGCTCTTTGCAGGTTTGGTCTCTGCAGTTCATTTGGGATTCCAGGTCAAGGGAACGGGTAGGACACACTTAAGACTTTATCTTCCCTTTTCTCCCTGAGTTGTACATTTCCTCACTCCCCTTTCCTTGTAACTAAACCTTTTGTTAACCTTTTGTGTGTGCCTGCAGTGTAAGCCCCTTTTGAGCATGCAGGTGAGGACCCACAGTCAGGCAGCCCATTTTAGAACGGGGCTGCCCTGTAACAGCTTGGCACCCAGTGTGGTTTCCAAGTTACACCCGTGGTTGACCAGCTCAAAGTAACTCCTTGCATTTGTCACCGTAAGCGCACTAGGTCTGCAGGACACGGGTGATAGTCTTTGTCTCAGGTCTTGAACAGCTTTTTTCCCCTTGTATACACCTCTGTCTGGTCTTTCAACCATGAGCTTAAGCAGTCTCATCCCTCGCTTAAGTTCTTCCAGTTTTATTCCAGCTTTGACTTTAAGTAATCTTTTTCCATTAAACATCACTGCCAGCCTTATAAACAAATAATTTGGTAAAATGGGGGCCATGGCACATGATTTTGTTTCTCTGTACTTACAAGTGGGTGGCTTGCAAGCCATCCCTGCTTTGCAATCTGTACTTCTGGCTGTTTTTCTGGTACTATGTGTGAGCACTATTGGCTACATTGTTGCTTCTCTGAGCGCTAAATGCTGCACTCCACCTATTGAGACCATGCAGCAGCAAATTCAGGCTCTCAATTTAGCTGTGCAGCAAATGAGGGAGGAAAACCTTGCTGTTCTTAAAAGTGTGCAGGACAGATACAGGCTGCCCTCCAAAAATTGAATGTGGGAGAGGCTAGGCTAATGGCACAGAGGAGGAATAAACCGTCCCCTTTCCATGAGGACTGCAGGTCAGATTTAGAAGAGGAGGATTATCATTTGTTGAATTCCTTAAACAAACCAGGACAGAATCCTCCTCAGTGTAGCAATGTTCCCCCTGTGGAGACTCCTGAGGCTTCTTCACAGGCCCCACTGCTATCCAGGGAAGAAACAAAAATGGCGTCTCCTCCCCACACTAGACCCAGCACCCACTTTGGCAGGAAGGGTCACTCAGAGGCAGGACAGTTTCCTCTTCGCCAGATGCCAATGAGTGGCTTGAATGAACATGGGTGACCTGCTGGGTACTTTTGGTCACACCATCCCTTTAGCACGGCAGACCTCCTAAATTGGAGGAGCTCTGTCCCTTCATACCAGCAGGCTCCTAAGAGGATGGCAGACTTGTTTGCCTCTATCATCCTCTCCCACCGCCCTAACTGGGCTGTGCTTCAATCTTTGCTGACTCTGGACAAGCAGAAAATGGTATTCAGGAAAACCAAGGAGGAGGCTGATTGTCTCCACCAACAGGATGGAAAATCCCCAGAGCCAGAGATGGTTGTCCCAGTGGTAGATCCCAAATGGGACCCCAGCAATGGAGGAATGGCAATGCTAGAGCTGTATAAAAATGTTTATTGGTAGGACTGCAGCAGGGAATCGCCAAACAAAAAAATTTTAACAAAATATTACAACTTGATCAGGGAGCTAATGAAGATCCATCAGAGTTCCTTGAAAGGATTATTCAAATGTATACCAACCACACAGACATAAACCCGATGCCCCAGAAACATAAACCCGATGCCCCAGAAAATGCTCATCTGATCACTATAGCGTTCATTACACATAGTGCCTGTTGGATAAATGGTTTTCAGGCTTTTCTGCCCTCCTACCATTAGGATTGCCCTGCTTGATGGGACACCTGCAGTTCTTACATAGTTGTAAGCTGACTTGTTTATTTCTGTGGGCCATGGCTCAGTATTGAGATAGTCACCCAGAGAAGTAGAAGCAGAAGAGGCAGGAGAGAGAAGGGGAGAAAGAAGGCCTGAGAAGCCCAAAATGAAGACTTGCTGGGGCCTTGGAGGCCTGCCCACCCCCGACCCCCAGCACCCCTGCCTGCCATGTACCAGTTTGCCACACTACATGTAAAGCTGAGAAACCCACTGAGAGCTCCAGGACTCTCCTTTACCTGCCTGCTCAGATCATAGAAAGCTGCTCAGTGCCTTCCTGCCCTTACAGTGCCCCAGACATAAGGAAAAAGTTAGCAAAGGTAGACGGCATCACAGAGATGAGTCCGTCGCAGGTAGTGGAGTTGGCATTCCAGGTTTACAACAATAGAGAGGACAGGAGACTGAAACCTGCAACTATTAAGGAGCAAAGGACAGGGTTTCAGGGACACAGTAACAAACTGAGACGTGAACCCAGGAGAAGTGAACCCCTAGGGAGAAATCAGTGTGCTTACTGCAGGGAAGAGGGGCATTGGAAGTACAGTTATCCCAGATTACAGGTGAGCAGCAGACAAAATAATTACAGAAGACTGAGGACACCACCACATGATGATTCACGCAGAGGTTACTGGATGGAATATAGACGGAGAACCCGGAACCTGGAACCAAGGAGAGAGGAGAGGAGACAAATGATAGCCCAGAGTAGAGGCTCAGATGAAGATAGGAGGGAATACGGACCAAATATAAGGTTTCAAGAGCCAAGTACAGAGGAAGGGAGACAAATGATAGTACATAGAGAAGGTTTAGATGAACAATAGGGGGCCCAAGAGCTCCACTAGATCTAAAAAAAGGTCCAGAAAGAACTGACCCAGAGATGAAATCCCATTGGTCTTGTGAACCCATTGAAGACTTGAGATATTTTGCTGGAGACCAGCTCCAGCTATAAGTTGTGTCAGGGGTCCCAGAAAGGACAGGACAGCATTGGTGAAGTTTTTCTTTTCTGGGGGCTAAGGGGAGGTGGAGCGAGGTAGAGATGAGGTTGACACAGACACCTTCTTTAGTGCAAGTGTCTCCTGCTGAGGGTCTCAGCAGGTCTTTATTTATACTTTAAGGCGAGCAGTGAGATTACATAAGCATCAAAGCAGAACAGAGACAATCATTACATATTTTTCTCATGAACATACAAAGACCCTCTTGATCTCATACTACAAAAGGGCAATTCTTTAATCTGATTAAGAAAAATTTTCATCTGAGGCTGCACACCAGCATCCATATATTTGATGTTCATCACCATGGAAATGGTGGCAAAAAGTGAAAGGGGGGAATTGTGAGGGGGAAAAGATGTCCTGAGCAAATTCCATACAGGCTTTGTGGATGCCACCCCTGCTCCATCAAGACACTGGGAACTACAAATCCCATGATCCCCAAAGGGAAGTTGTGAGGACCTAAGGGCAGAGTTAAGCAGCCATTTTCTCAGTTTGTAAATTAAAACCAGCCGTGTTAGTGGGGTCTTGGACACTTGGCTTGTGCTCTTGGCCAGGCAGGTTTGGTCTCGGGGGGTCATTTGGGAGTCTAGGTCAGCAGAAGGGGTAGGACACATTTAAGACTTTATCTCCCTCTTTTCTCCCTGAGTTGTACATTTCCTCATGCCCCTTTCCTTGTAAATAAACCTTTTGTTAACCTTTTGTGTGTGCCTGCAGTGTAAGTCCCTTTCAAGTGCGTGGGTGAGGACCCACAGTCAACCCATTTTAGAGCTGGGTTGCCCTGTAACAACACCTCCAAAGGGTAATTCAACAGGAAGTAGTGACTACAGTAGCAGAGCTGAGAGGCAGGGAAGTTTGTATATTAGTGGTTTTGGAGTGGGGTTATTTTTTGTATCTTAGTTTTATTTATTTTTTTTTTAAAGAGGCATGTATTTTTTATTTATTTATTTGTTTGTTTTTTATTTGTTTGTTTATACATGCACTGGGTACTCAGAAGCGCGGGAGGGTGAGAGAATTCACCAGAGCCAGAGCGGGGAGCAGAGCAGGCAGAACGACTGAAGTACACTGCTGAGGGGAGCAGCGGGCAGCAGGAGAGGTCTGCGCGCCATGTGGGACCCTCCTCTGGTGGCCGGGGAGCAGCCGGGGATCGAACCAGCGCTGCAGAGGCCACGGGAAGCTTCACAACCCAGCGCTCAAACGCTGCACCACCAGGGAGGCCCTGTATTTGCTTTAGTTTTAAAGCAAATATGGAGGATTCAAAATTAAGGACAAAACGAAAACAAAATTAGAAACAAATCATGTTTCCTACCACTGTTCTTACTCTTAGATCCTCAGTGAGCAGGCCAAGGTCATTGTTAGAAGCAATGTGGACATTCATCATTTAACAGCCAATTTCACATTCCTTTTATTATGATGTTTATTAGTTTTATAGTCCATACTTTCTTTGATATTTATTTGTTGGTAATACAAGCTTTCTTTATAAAATTCAAAACATAGATTATATAATGAAAAGCATGTGTCCCTTCCAATACTGATGCTGCTCAGTTCTCCCCAGAAACTAGTGACATTAGTTTCTTTTGTTTTTAAGATTTATTTATTTATGCATACAAGAGTAGGAGCATAGGCTAGAGATGTGGGGGGTGAGAGGATTCACCAGTGACAGCGTGGGAAGCAGAACAGGCAGATCTACTGAAATACACTGCTGAGAGGAGCAGTGGCGAAACAGGAAAGGTCTGCTGCACCATGTGGGTTGCTCCCTGGCCAGCCAGGGATCAAACTCATGCTGCAGAGGCTGTGGATTGCTTCATAGTGTGGTGTTTAATCCCTTGCGCCACCAGGGAGGTCAGTGATATTAGTTTCTAATGAAGATTTTCAGAGATAGTCATGGTGTTCATATGAATGATAGCACATAATATATTTTTACAGTGACTACATTACAAACATAGTTTTCCAAGTCTTTAAGATTGATTTATTTATGCATATAAGAGCTGGGATGTAGGCCAGAGATGGGGTGGTGAGAAGATGCACCATTGACAGAGTGAGGAGCAGAACAGGCAGAGCTACTGAAATACACTGCTGAGGGAAGTAGCAGGCGAGACAGGAGAGGTCTGCTGCACCATGGCCTCCTGGTCGGGAATCAAACTCAGCAGCTGCAGTTGCTGCAGATACCTTCATAATGCTGAGACCTAATCCCTTGTGCCACCAGGGAGGCTCCCAAGCCTTTTCTTTATTATTTTACAATATGGTAAAGAATGTTCCATCTTCATACAAATAGAATGTCACTGTCATTTTGTTTATTGGGTGCATAGCGCACAAATATATTCTAAATTTATATTACCAATCTGTATAGTTTTGGAGATGAATCTTTTTTTAATATTTTTTTATTATGTAGAACTGTGGTATAGGCTGGGGTTAAGAGGATTCACCAGGGACAGAGCAGAACAGGCAGATTACCTGAAATACATTGCTGAAGGGAGATAGGAGAGGTCTGCTGTGCACAGCTCCCTGGCCAGGGATCAAACTCAGGCTGTACCCGTGATAGCGCTGTAACTTAACCCCTAGGCCAGGGAGGCCCCTAGAGCTGAAACTTTAAATGCTTTCCAGTCTTTTGTCATAGTTATTTCTCATTTTGTATGTATGGTTTTCAACATGTATATGTCCTAAAACTAAATGTTATATCAAAGTGTCCATGCATTTATTCTATCCAAAATAGGTAAAGCATTAATATCCACAAAGGCCACTTTTTAGAAAACACTGCAAATTGAGAGTAAAACTTATACCCCAATAATAGGCCACATTTATCAATGTTCTGTAATTCTTTTACAGGAGAGCTACATCTTTTTTAATAGATTTTTCACTCCTGTCACCAAAAAATCTGCACATTTTTTAGAAACTACTGAAACGATCTCCCTGGTAAATAGTTCCAAGACTTTTGACATCCATGAAGTTTCATCATTTCTATTCATATCAATCTTCTCCTTTAACTGATTTATCTCTGCATTCATCTGTGCAGATTTGTTTTTCTGTCCTTCTTTATAAAGCTCTTCTTGGATCTAAAAAAAGTGAGATGAGTGATAAAACTTTTCAAATGCCCATTTTCATAAAGAAACATATTGTACTTTTAAGAACTTTGTCAATCTGTACTTTACTCCTAAAGTTGTTCTTTCCTACTCAATCATGAAAGGAAAATTTTAAAAGGAGACTCTCCTGGCTTGGATCACAATATTGAGAGAAAACAGTTTATATCCTTTGTATTCATACACAACTAGGGTTTTGCCAGGATGCTAAGCTCACATGGGGACCAATGTAATAAGCTGCAGCCAAAAAATGCCAGTGAGAGGTAGCTTGGTTGGGTGGCACTAACTCTTCAGTCCCCCAGGAAGGTGTGGTTATTCAAATACTGAAATAATGGGAAATAAAAAACCTTTCTAGAAATCGGTTATATCATGTCTAGATGGACAATGAGAGAATTCTCCTATGTCATGGGTAAACCATCCTGACTGGAAACAATGCAGCAAGTTTAGAAGCCTCTTTGCATTTTTTTTAAGTCTGAACATGCTCAGAGTTTTATGTCAGCATAGGTCTACCTCAGGGTTCTTGGCTGGTAAAGGGTTCCTGATAATTGGCTGTGGACTTGGTACACCAAAATTTTGTTGATCATATTAAATTCATGTGGTAGATATATTGTTTTAATCAAGGTTCATGACATCATTTTAAAATACCCCAAACAGCAACTAAAACCCAATTTATATTCTCCAAGGGCCTAGAGGGGTCATACTTCCAGAATTATTAGACTACATGAAGTATTAGTGTTTCATAAATCTGAAACGGTAAATGGTGTTTCCTTCCATGATCTTGCTGTTAGCCTCACCATCCAGTGTACTGAGGCCACGCCCAAACTTACTTTTAGCTTATGCTCCAGCATCATATTCTGCTCTTTCACAAGGTTTGCTCTTTCCAACTTCAGTTTCTCTTCCAGTTGGGCTACATTCTCCTGGAGACTCCTGTTTTGTGCCTCCATCTGCTGCTTCTGCTCCTCCAGCCTCTGATTGCACAGTTTCTGTTCCTTCTCCGCCGCCTCCTTCCCGGCCCTCTCCTCTGCCCAGGAAGGTTTGAGAGAAGAAAAGTCAGTGAGGATTCACCTCTACACCCTGAGCTCAGAGAAGAAAGCAAACTGGAAGGGAGTTGGGGGACCTCTGAATACACAGCCCCTCCCTGCACACACCATCAGGGCGTGGCAGGAAAGGTCTGTGTAGCTCAGGTTACACCACAGCTCCCCTCCTGTGTCAGGTTTAGCGCAGTTTGCCCCACAGAGGAAAGGAGGCTCTTCCAGTCTGTCACAGGCCACACAGCCACCTGTGTACCCCATCATGAAGCCGCCCTGCCCGCACCTGCGATGGCCTTCTCCTGATCACTGAGGGCTCTGTCAGCCTGCAGGATGGATTTCTCTACTGTTGCTTGTGACTGCAGGAAGCTCTGGAAAACCTTCATCGCCTGAGGAACCAAGAAGAAGCAATCAGGTTATATTTCCACTGGAGAGATTAATGCAGCAAGAACAAGTGTGTCCAGGTATTATTGCTTCATACTTCAAATTCTATATTGGCTCCTTAGGAAGAGGCCAAGCTCCTTAAAGTGACCAGATACATCCTCCACATCTCTTTCCTGTTGTCCTCCCATCATTGTCCCAGTGTTTACTCCAATCTACCTGCCCCAGGTACCTGCCATTCACAACTATGCGCACTTCTACAAATTTATAATTCCTGGTACTTTATTATTTTGTGGTCCCAACATGAAATGTTGCCTCTACTCTTAAGGCCTGTTCTCCTCTGCCTCTTGTTGCTATAATGTTAAGGTAGGTTGTTTTAAACTGTGTGTGCCTCTCATCTCAGGTTTCTAAATAGCTAATAGTAACTATGGATGGTTCCTGATGGCTCGATTTCACAAGTTCATAAATGTTATCACTCTGAAGTGATTGCTAGGTATTTTATTTCCTCTCTTGTTTGAATCAGCGTTGAGTACAAACAGACTAAACTTGTTAATTGTCAACATTTGGCATATTGATGTTATGTTGTAAGATAAAGATGTAAATAATTTCTGTTCTGTCCTTCAGGGATTTCAGAAATTCATACTCATTTTTTTTAATGACTATTTCCTAGTTTCCTCAGAAGTAGCTAGTAATGGACCTTAAAGACTAAAGCCATTAAGATAGCCCCATGCTCTCTTATTACCCCATGGATGCTGTGCCCTCATTTTCAGGACACCCCTTGACTCTGTTATCTAGGATATCCATGCTCCCCTTATTCCTCACCTTCACTCCTTTTCTTGGCACTTGCCAATAGTCCTTTTCCATCATTTTCTTTGTTTCTGTGTAGAGCTTGTGCCCTCCAGGAACAGAGAACGTTCCTGCTGAAATATTTTCTGTTAGCTTCTTTGTGAGCTGATTAAGTTGAACCTGGCAATATTTCTCAGATGCCTCTTCATTCTTCTGCAACAACTCCTCCTTTTTATTCTCTATGGTTTCCTGCAAAGGAAATGTAGAGGAGCAGAGGAGGTGAAATCCTAAAGAATCTGCTAGAAGGATTGTCTTCTGGGTCCTCATGAGAAAAGCATTCTATTGGAGAAGGACATGATTTACTCACATCCCTGAAAACTCTCTAAACGATGGTGGAAAAGTTTCTTAGCTCCTGGGTCTCAGGTTCTTCCTCTGGGGTTGCACTGGGGATGCATTACCAAGCTGCCATGATCCATGCAGATGTAGCATTCAGTGATTTTATTCTCAATGATATGAAAAGACCATAAAAGATGGCATGAAGTATTGTAACTTGAAAGTGGCTTGGTATAAGGGTCTAACAAGAGAAATTTGTATCCTCTGAATGGGAACATGTTCACAGAACAAGCAACCTGCTCAAGTCCTCAGATCAGGCTTGGAATCCACTGAAGTATTCACTTCAGAAAAATGTCCAGACTGATTTTGCATAAGAGATCAGTGAGTGTCCTCCCTGGTGGCACAGGGGTTAAGACGCAACCCATGAAGCTATCCACGGCCACTGCAGCACGAGTTCAATCCCTGGCCAGGGAGCTGCCCACATGGCACAGCAGACCTCTCCTGACTCACCTGCTGCTCCCCTCAGCAGTGTATTTCAGTCAATCTGCCTGTTCTGTTCCCCGCTCTGTCTCTGGTGAATCCTCTCACACCCCTCACCTCTGGCCTGTACTCCAGTTCTTGTGTGCATAAATAAATAAATCTTAAAAGAAAGACATCAGTGATATTTCTAATAAATTACCTGAGGTTTTGTATGAAGACCTTTGAAACTCTATCCCTCTTGAGAATCTAGACTCTAGACCGGTCTACATTATTCTTTTTTTTTTTTTTTTTTTATAATTTTTTTTTTTAATAGAGGCATGTTTTTATTTTTATTTGTTTGTTTTGTTTATACATGCACTGGGTACAGTCAGAAGCGCGGGAGGGTGAAAGAATTCACCAGAGCCAGAGTAGGGAGCAGAGCAGGCAGAAGGACTGAAGTACACTGCTGAGGGGAGCAGCGGGCGGCAGGAGAGGTCTGCGCTCCATGTGGGACCCTCCTCCGGTGGCCGGGGAGCAGCCGGGGATCGAACCGGTGCCACAGAGGCTGTGGGCAGCTTCGCAACCCAGCGCTCTACCGCTGCGCCACCTGGGAGGCCCAGGTCTACATTATTCTTAAGTGAGAGATGAGTCATGGGTCACCAAAGGCATTTCTAGCTTCATTTTTTTTTTTAAGATTTATTTATTTATTTGTACAAGTACTGGGTACAGTCAGAGGCATGGGATGGTGAGAGACCCACCAGAGCCACAGCGGAAAGCAGAACAGGCAGAGTGACGAAGTACACTGCTGAGGGGATTAGTGGGAGGCAGGAGAGGTCTGCACGCCATGTGGGACCCTCGCCCAGTGGCTGGGGATCGAACCAGTGCTGCAGAGGCTGCGGACAGCTTCGCAACCCAGCGCTCAACCACTGCGCCACCGGGGAGGCCCTTAGCTTCATTCTTAAAGGATAAATACTAAGAGATATTACCCAAAGCTTCTTCTGGAACTCCTGATTCTCATCCTTGAAGGAATGCTCCATGAATATTGCAATGGCCTCTCTCTCACAGGCTGCGTGCACATCCAGTAACTCCTGGAGCGAGTCCGTGGGGAAGAGCACTCGCTGGGCCATCTGCTGGCTGTAGTGGTCGGCTGCCTTCTGCAGGGCTGCTGAGTTCTCAAGCTGGGCCAGAGTCGTCACCGCATTCTCCAAACAAGGAATTGCTCCACTGTTGATGGTATCCACGTAGGTCACCACCAGACTGTTCAAACCTGAAATAAGCCAGGAAATCCATGATAAAGTATCGATTGTCATTTTTGGACAGTATTTGATTGCTTTCCAGGTGTCATCCCTATAGCTCTCCCATGACCCTAGCACCTATGATCAGTTATCACTGTTCCATGTGCTCTTCCCTCCCATGTAATGACCCCCCTCCCTCCTCCTTCCCTGCAGTGGCTTCAGATCGATGGTCACCTTCCAAGTTTTGTGAGACTACCTTTTTTTTGAAAGATTTATTTATTTATGCATACAAGAACTGGGGTACACACCAGATGTGCTGGCGGTGAGATGATTCTCCAGAGACAGAGTCAGGAGCAGAACAGGCAGATCTACTGAAATACACTGCTGAGGGGAGCAGCGGGCGAGACAGGAGAGGTCTGCTGCGCCATGTGAGTTAGTTCCCTGACCGTCCAGGGATCTAACTCCTGCTGCAGAACCTGCAGACAGCTTCACAGCGCTCCTTGCATCACCAAGGAGGCCCGAGATACCTATTAAGTCACACACACACTTCCTTCTACTAGCATGACCTCCATTTTCCTAGTGGCAATTCATTTTCATAGTTTTTAGGTCACAGGCCTAAAATACTTCCTTCATCTGACAGGGTAACAGGTATTTGAGAAATAAGTTTCCCATTAAAAAGTAAGAGATTAGATGACATGGTAGACTGATGAGACAGGTTAATCAGTTTATAGTCATTCCTAATTTGATGGTTTTTATGAATTTTAGGGATTTATGGATTAAAGATGAAGTTTTGACTGTGTAAACTCCCAAATTATCTTTTGTAATCTACTTGCAAAGAACAGTTACTGTACAGGATTTCTTGAGAAAATAGTGTATTCTTCTTTATACCCAGTCAGTGATTTACTGTCAGTCTGGGAATTTTTAATAAGTAGAAACCACAGTTATTGGTGATAATTTTTTCCAGTTTTGGAAAGTATCAACTCCCAAAGGTGATATTACTACAAAATACACATAACTCTTCAAAGAGTCTGAACATCTTTATGTCCAAATTTCCATGTGAAGCCAAGCAAAATTGCAGAAAAACACATTATATACCAAACTGGCTTATAAGAGGCCCCGCCACAGAGGGAGGAGACTCACGTTTCCCAGTGACTGGGATTCCCTCTCTAAGGCTCTTGGGTCTGGTGTTGGAGATGATGTAAGAACAGAATTTTCTTGTTTGTTCCTGGAACATAAGATCCAGCTGGTCTTCAGACACTTTCTCTATATTGGCTAGGAGTTCTTTGTCTTGTGTTGGTCGATCAAAGACAAAACACTTCCGTTTTGGAAAGAAATGCCTGATGCACTCTCTGGATAGGTTGGACTTTTGGATACCGGGTTTCAGGCCTGAGGGATAGGAAAAATGGAAATTACAGTGAGAACAGTTGGGGCAGGGAGCCCAAGGCTTCTATGACAGGGGCTAGGTATCATTGTCAACTTCTATGCTTATAACTCCTTCATTATAATTCAATATTATAATTCAATACTTCTTTGCATATCAAACTTATACAAATGTTATAATTCTGTAGAGAAACGTGACATCTAATCCAGATGAAATAAACTTATGACAGATATCCCCAGACCTGAGCATGTTGAGTTGTGTTCTTATAGATAATGACTGAAAGAAGCTAAAGGAATGAAGTCAAGTGTAACTTTTTGGTCCAGTTGATCTCATGTAAAAATTGAGCTGTGAGCCTGAAACCATAAAATATATAGAAGAAAATATAGGTAAAACACTACAAGACATACATCTCAATAACATCTTTTTAAAGACTCATCCCCCAAAGCAAAGACAGTGAAGGAAAAGATAAACATCCACGATTACTTCAAACTAAAGAGCTTCTGAGAAGCAAAAGAGATATTAACAAAAACAAAGAGACACACTTACTGATTGGGAGAAAATTTCTGTACTCCATACAAAGGGATTGATAAGGGATTGATCACAAAGATATGCAAAGAACTCAAAGGGATTGATCACAGAGATATACAAAAACAAAGTAAAAAATCCAGTCAAAAAATGGGCGGAAGAACTTAAAAGACACTTCTCTAAAGAGGAAATGCAAATGGCCAACAGGCATTTGAAAAAAATGTTCAACATCCCTCATAATAAGGGAAATGCAAATCAAAACCACAATGAACTATCACCTTACACCAGTAAGAATAGCACCTATTAAAAAAGCTAGCAACAACAAATGTTGGGAAGGATGTGGTGAAAAAGGGACTTTCCTACACTGCTAGAGGGACTGCAAATTGGTCCAAACACTATGGAAAGCTGTATGTAGGTTCCTCAGACTTCTAAAAATGAAGCTACCATATGACCCAGTAATTTCACTACTAGGGAAATACCCATAGGACACAAAAACATTAATTCAAAAGGATACCTGCACCCCTATGTTCATTGTAGCTCTATTTACAATAGGTAAGCTATGGAAACAACCCAAATGCCAAAAAATAGATGACTAGATCAAGAAGATGTGGTATATATATACAATGGAATACTATTCAGAAATCAAAAAAGGTAAACTAATACCATTCACAGCAACATGGATGGAACTAGAAGGGATTATGCTCAGTGAAATAAGTCAGAAGGAAAAAGAAAAATATTGGATGTTTTCACTTATAGGAGGAATATAGGGGAACCAAATAAGGCATTAGGAAAAAAAAAAACAATAAAAAACATAGCCAAAAAAAACAAAAATAGACAACTATAAATCAGAGACATTCTGCAGGAGAAGGGAAGGAGAGGGAAGAAGAAGGATCAAAACAAGTAAGGGAAGAGCACAAGGGACTATGGTGATGGCACACGGGTGAACTGGTGATAGAGATTCTATGGGGACTATGCCTGAGAAAAGAAAGCAAACATTGTGAAAAAAATAAGATGTAAAATATATATTAATTAACAAATAAAATGTTTCCATTCAAATGGACACACACACACAAAAAAAAAAAATTGAGCTGTGAGCCTGAAAAGAAGAACCATAAACAAGAAAACTGGAATATATCAGGAATATTAGGAATGACAACCTTATTTAAGAAAAATTACTTTGCCATTAAAAATGAATTGTGTGATGTTAGCTACCTTTTAGCCACAACCACTAAAATGTTATTTTAAGATGTTACCACTAATCTATGAATTCTTGACTTAAAGGGTGATATTTGGCTTGATAGTGTTGCTCTTCTGGTTAGATGACTTCAATAAACTTTCTAAGAAAGAGCATGAAAAGAAATATGAAAGCAAGAGCAGTAATATCAGTACTGATATTTCTCTCAAGGTCTCAGCAAATGGAATGTTTTGCTCTTTTGGAAGAAAACTATCTACATGAAAAAATTTTTTATCAGTAGGCTTTTTATTGTAATTTCAGGTATAGCATGTCTCTAATCATCTTTTTCCCCCTCAACACACAAAAGCAGATACCAAAATAAGGACTACATATGGCAGGTGTATAGAAAGGTTTAGCACCATTGTAATCTGGAAGTTTCACATTGTATAAGGAATAAGTTGGTTTTGAATAATTTTACTCTATGCTTTATTTTTCGTAAGTGAACTTAAACTTTATCCCCTAGAGCTTTTCAAGTTTCTTTCCAGCCAACATTTTCAAATACTTTGACTCAGTCTCAAAGAGGAATGCAGTCCCAGAGGTGATGGGCACTGCTTAGTAACCCCCAATCTCTAGAGGAACATCCCCTGCCCAGGCCACACTCTCATACCTGGAATCAGCTTCAAGGCGTTCTCCAGGTACTCATCTGCTGTGATATTCTGATCATCTATTTTCAGTTCCAGGGTGAAATCCCGAACAGTCCAGATAAAGTCTGGAAAGAAGCTCACAAACTCTGTGGAATCATCTCCTTCCTCAGAACTTGGAGTGGACTTTGACCTGATGAGTACTGTAAGCTCTGTCACATAGCTAGGACATGGTTCAGGAAAAGAAAGAGCCTCCAAAATTTCCTCATGAAAAACAATGTTATAGATAGACACTCTTTCACCCTTGTCCCATCTGCCCCACCAAAGGCAACTAAGTGGCAGGGAAGGACTCCATGTCCAGTCCCATCAACGCAGTGCACAGTGGGGCCTCGGCTCCTGGAAGGATACTGCAGCTGCTCCAGGGCCTGGTGGTTGATGGTGCCTATGCTGTTGTAGACAAAGCTGCTGCACAGAAGCACGGCCAGCGTGAAGATCCACGCGTCATTCTTAGAGTCACCCTGGAAGGCACATCAGAATGAGGGGTGTTGCAGCTTCCTCTTTAGAAATTCATGCAGACTCCTATCAGTCTTTCATTAGTCATTTCAGCTAACCCATTCACCAGACTACTAAAAATGAGCTGTAGGAAAGTTCCTTTAGCAGTGTAGGAAAGTTCTTTTTCACCAAATCCTTTATGTTTGAAGACAAACATAAAAGGATATATCAGTTTTTACAATTACAATATTTCCTGTGATTTGATTTTTTTTAAAGATTATTTATGCATGCAAGAACTTGGGCACAGGCCAGAGGTGTGGGGGGGGGGAGAGAACTCACCAGATACAGAGTGGGGAGCAGAACAGACAGATCCATTGAAATATACTGCTGAGGGGAGCAGCAGGCAAGCCAGGAGATGTCTGCTGTGTTATGTGGGTTGCTCCCTGGCCGGGGATCGAACTCATGCTGCAGTGGCTGCAAATAGCTTCATAGGTTGCGTCTTAACCCCTTGTGCCACCAGGGAGGCCCTGATTTCATTTTTTTTATACATAAAACATTCCAGTCTTCACAGAATTTTCCTTTCCTCAATGGATGAAATAACATACACAGACAAAACTATTAAGCACCTGCTGTGTAATTAGGCACTCAATGATGAGTGTTATCATTTATTCATTCTACATGCCTCTATTAATCAAAATATACTAGAGTTGACATAACTGGGTATTCAAATTATGTCAGTAAGAAGGGTATTGAATATTTCCTGCTTCTTTTAAATGTAAAAAAGCTAAGTTAACGATGACATTTTTACTTTCAATTGGCTACTGTTAACTGCTGCAAACACACATAACAATGAACAAAACAAAGTGACATTTCTATGAAGACCTTACTGTTTACTGTTTACAGTGGAATTTATAGCTATTATAACCAATTAAAATTTTGAAGTCTTTCAAGGGAAAACAGAGTTGGACAGCAGAGAAATAGCATGTGAAAGTTTCATCAACATCTTGAGCAGAGTGTTACATAATTAACAGAATGTGGGATTAATAAATGCAGGTCATTCAACAGATGCAAAGATCAACAGAAGTGAAATTAGAGATGGCAGAATACAGGATCTTTGCAATGAAAATAGAGATCTGACTGGAGCAGAGGTGAAAGCTGGATGGTGAACTCTAGTGAATCCGGATAAAGGGGCTTAGTGGACAGTTTGCTAAATTGTATAAAGTAAGCACCACCTAAATAATAGCATAATCTAGAAACTATTCCCTTTTTTTCTTCAAAATTGAATCTTTGATCATTTATTGCTCCAAATTGTGCATGATGTTTTCTGGCCAATGTCATATAGTGTATTATTAAGAAGCAAAGTTCTTAAAATAATCCAGTCAAAAAATGGGCAGAAGAGCTAAAAAGAAACTTCTCTGAAGAGGAAATGCAAATGGCCAACAGACATATGAAAAAATGTTCAACATCACTTGTCATCAGGGAAATGCAAATCAAAACTACCATGAGATACCATCTTACACCAGTGAGAATGGCACATATTAAAAAAACTAGCAACAACAAATGTTGGCGAGGGTGTGGAGAAAAAGGAACTCTTCTGCACTGTTGGTGGGAGTGCAAACTGGTCCAACCACTATGGAGAGCTGTGTGGAGATTTCTGGACCTAATAAACATAGAGCTTCCATATGATCCAGCAATTCCACTCCTAGGTATTTACCCAAAGGACACAGAAACATCAATTCTAAAGAGCACCTGCACCCCTATGTTTATAGCAGCACTGTTTACAATAGCTAAGCTTTGGAAACAGCCCAAATGCCCAAAAATAGATGACTGGATCAAGAAGATGTGGTACATATATACCATGGAATATTACTCAGCATTCAAAAAAGATAAACACATGCAATTTGCAGCAACATGGATGGCGCTGGAAGGGATCATGCTCAGCGAAATAAGCCAGAAAGAAAAAGAAAAATACCGGATGGTCTCACTCATAGCAGGAATCTAGAAAACTTAAATAAGGGACCAGGAAAATGAATAACTATAAGAAAGTGAAAATCAAAATCAACAAAAAACTATGAACCAGAGACACTTTTTGGGGGGTGGGGGGCGGGAGGGGTGTGATTGGGGTCAGAATGTGGGGGGTTGCAATTGTATGGGGAATATAAAAATAAAATTAATTATTTAAAAAAAAATAAAAATAAATAAAGTAAGGGCTGGAGGCACACAGTAACTTCTAAACTATTATGTAAAAAAAAAAAAAAAGAAGCAAAGTTCTTAGAGTCACCAGCAACTGCTCAGATTAGTTTAAGAATTACTAGGTTCATTGTGAGACATGTATTGTGAGGTTCTTCTATTGGATTGAGAATAGAAACTATTATATATACAGAAGGAAATGGAATTGTGGTTGTGCTGAATTTTAAGCACAATATTGCAGAAAATTATGTTAAAAATTTCGTAAGAAAGTTATGTGATTAGTGGATCAGTTGATTAGAAAACACAATCCAGGTTCACTTCACTTGAAAGTAATATTTATTAATGTATAATATGGTTATTATGTGGAACTAGGAGCTAAAGAGATTGCATAAAAGTTTGGTAGTAAATCTAACACATCAATTCTCCTGAACTGGGAAAAATTCTGGACTAAGCTCCCCTTCCAGTTAAAATTTGTACAGTAGATGCATGTGAGATGGTGGTTGTACTGGAATCACCATCAGATTCTTCCTTTTCTGAGATACATGCTTGACTCCCATCACTGCTCATTTGTCTATGTGGGAGCAGGGTTGTTCAGACTCATTCATTCTCCCAGCAGCTGCACTTCTGGAGCTGGGTCTCTCTGTCAAGGGAACAACACTGCCAGAGGGGCTAAGTCTGTCAACTTTACTATTTATTAGCCGAACCACCTTGGTTCCTGAAGACCCTTTAGGTGTAACTCTCTGTCCTATGGAACCATGGGCCATGGTACCATCACCACAGTTCTGGCCTCCTCTGCACTCCCCCATCTCCTCTGAGAGTCTGATTCTCAGTTTTGATGAGACTGCTCCAAGAAACCGAACTTCATCATCATTCTGAGCCCCTGAATCCTCGACTCCTTTCTCTACAAACTACTACCCCTTTTAGTTAATCTGAAGAATGGGCTCCCAGCTCTCTACATCAGGGCTCTGTCCAAATGTCTGAGAGTTGGTGGGCTCCTGTGGAGGCCAGAGCCTCCTGATACCCAGGAGAGCATTAACCTGGCCCCACTGGTTTCCCTGCCTAGTACTGTCTTGTGGGATAAGGAGTGGATTTAGAATTGGTGTGTCACTATAAGACTCCACAGGTCTCTCTGGATGTTCTTCCTCATTTGACTTAATGCAGCTTCACCCTCAGCTATATTAATTTTTAAAGAATTCCCTCTGTGATCTGTGTACATTTATTTGATGTACACATGAATATGATGTATATGCATGAATATGATGCATCTACAAAAACTGGCAGCTGTCAAGTAGCTGATGGTATCTGCCAGTGATAAGCAGAGTCATCCCACGTAAAAGAAAGGAGCTGTTCAAAATCAGTAGGATTCTTGATGAGTGAAATGGAGACAGTATTCAACTCATCCAAGACCAGCTCAGTGGTACTGGGCTTGTATATTAGCCATAATACCACAGAGAGCCTGCATGCACAGCTGGTTTAGAAGATTCAAGACAGAATTTTCATGGTCATGCCTAAGGCTGTAGGCAGCCATTCAATTCTGTGCCAGGGGTGAAAATGGACCAGAATGGTCTTAAACACCATCTAGAAGTCCAGAAATTATTTCTCCTTTAACAGTGTGAAAACTATTTCCCAGGGCATATGTAAAAATTGGAATTTAATCTGGAAGATACTCTATGATAGTTTGGTGGGGGGAGGAAAGGTCTATTCATCGATTATTCTTCTCAAACCCCCAAATTTTAAAGTAATCAACTAGGTTATATGGTCATGGCACTGACAAAAAACAAAATTTTTATAGTATAAGAGTATGTCATAGAAATTAAAAATATGGCCTCCCTGGTGGCGCAAAGGATTAAGGCATAACCTCTAAAGCTATCCACAGCCACTGCAGTACAAGTTCGATCCCCAGCCAGGGAGCTACCCACATGGCGCAGCAGACCTCTCCTGACTTGCCCGCTGCTCCCCTCAGCAGTGTATTTCAGACAATCTGCCTATTCTGTTCCCCACTCTGTCTCTGGTGAATCCTCTGATTCCCCACACTTCTGGCCTATACCCCAATTTTTGTATGCATACATAAATAAATCTTTAAAAATTAAAAATAAACATAGTTTCTAACTCTTATTTGTGCAGAAATAGAGTTATAGAAAATTAGATATTATTTCCAAATAAAGTTCAGAGACAAAAAAATTCATTTCATGTGTCAGTAGAAAGCAAAAATACCAAAAATCCATCTTAAATTATTTGGTTAGGACAAACACAGGCCTTTAGAGAGCAACACATTCAGATATCCCGATGTCTTCCAGAGTGTCCTGCTGGCGATGATGATCTTCACCACAGGAAACGTTAATTCAGCACTTACCTCAGACCTTCAAATTCACAATTCATGTGATAGCAAAGGGGAATCAAAAATCTTTCCTTACCTCCTATGCTGGAGGTGATGTTTCTCATTTTTCTTACTAAGGCACTCTTATGCTTTACTGTACATGCTCAAAGCTGTGAGGTGCTGTGAGGTGCTGTCTGGATCACCTTTTGGAATAAGCCCTGGCTCTGGAAGTGCTGATAGCAGTCAGCCCTCGGGAGCCAGCATCTCAGTTACAATGGCTTCCTGCAGTGATTTATCAGCTCCCTGGAGGTCAGGGTACCTCAGTAGGGCCTTTCTACTCACAGCTCACATGGCACTGACAGAGGTCAGGGAAAGCAAAAGTACTTCTTCCTCTATCCAACCTGCTGCTTTCCCACTCAGGTTTAGTAAGTCTGACTGTGTGTGTGTGGTTTTCTCAATGGAAATGAAGACTCTTTGAAGGCAGAACCTATATCTACATGCTAAACCAGGAGGACTAGAACACAGCTGTTCAAGAATTAGTGATCAGGTCCTCCTGGTGGCGCAGCGGTTCAGCACTGGGCTGCGAAGCTGCCCGCAGCCTCAACAGCGCTGGTTCGATCCCCGGCTGCTCCCTGGCCACCGGTTAGGGTCCCACATGGCACGCAGACCTCTCCTGCTGCCCGCTGCTCCCCTCAGCAGTGTACTTCGTTGGTCTACCTATTCTGCTCCCTGCTCTGGCTCTGGTGAATTCTCTCACCCTCCCGCGCTTCTGACTATACCCAGTGCTTGTATAAATAAATAAATTAATCTTTTTTAAAAAAAGAGAGAGAGATTTTATCAAGTATACAATCCTATCTTACCTAGAAGGTAGATTCGACAAACCAAAGTTCATCTCAATTAATAGTTAGGTTTCTAGATTATATAGATAGTTCACAGCAGGTAAATTACAAAGGATTATGAAGAGATAAAAAGAAAATCCAGAATAAAACAAATTTATATGCAATTTTCTACCTTACCTTTTCCACATCCCCAAGGCCCTCAGTATCCAGAAGGACCAGGGTGTGGTCTGGCTTGGTGGGATGGGGCACACACCACATCCAGATGCCTTTGGTTTTGGACTGCACGGTGGAGCCCAGAGGGAAGCCTGCAAGGGGAGGGGAGGAAGCAAAATACTGTGACAGCAGATAATCTAAACAGCCAAGGGGCTATAATGTCAGACTTGGTAGAATGTAGATGAAAGATGGTATTTTCTGTTTCCTCAAGATGTCCAACTTTGTGTGTCATCTGACTCATAGAGGAGAGGGCATTAACTGTGAGAATGTCAAAAGAGGGCTTAAGATGGAGACAGAGAGACATCAGGAGTCAGACAAAACAGTGGTCATTAGTAATGGTAGCAAACCAAATAGAAAGAACAGGATTTTTTTCAAAGTTCAAAGGGATGAAAATTAAGAAACTGAGATACAGCTAGAGGCAAGCACAAAACAAACCCAACACAACACTCACCATGGTTCTGTCCTGCAAGTCGGTTCATCAAGTAGGATTTGCCTGTACGATACAGCCCTACAATGGCCACCACCATGACAGGCTGAGAAATCTTCTCAAGAATCTGTGTCGCTTTCGGGTTCACTGACAGCTGTCCATTGTTGTTTTCCACCAGACAGATGGGGGCCATCATATTGGGTCCAGATGCCATCGTGTTCTGCCAACCTAGAAGAGCCTCCCAGTAGAAAAAAAAATTACAACATCATTCTCTAACTCAGAGTTATCCAAAGCACACATCCACTTAGGGCTGGGTGAAAAATGTCTACTTTCTGAGGAGCTAGATGTACTCTACCATTCACAGATTACAGAAGACTTCCTGCCTCATTGTCTCTAAATGATGATATTAGTAATGGAGCACAGCTTATAACACTCTCCAAAGTGTTATGCCAATAATAATAATATGTATATAATGGTTACCATGCACATGTGCCTGTAGTATTTTAAGCCTGTGAAACATACATATGCAGTGTCACTGATACGGGTAAGAAACTGCACGTTTAAATTTACTATACACAATCTGCAAATGACATAAATAAGTTTCACAAAGTCTGTGTAAGTCATTGAGCCAGGATTAAAATCTAGACACCTGAGCAAAATGACAGACTAGAAAGGCCTAAGCTCTTATTCTCCTGAGAAGATATGAAATACAAATGATATATCGGCTAAGAAAAATACATAGTAGCTCTGCAAAGCAGTCAATGGTCTAAAACAACCAAGCAAATACCCAATGAAGAAAAAGAACAATTTCAAAATGATAGGAAGTTCTATGATGTTTTTGTTCAGCTTTGGTCCACACACTCTCCAGTGTGGTGCAGTCTCTGTCTAGCAGAGGTAGAAACCCAATTCCTAATTTTTCCCTTGATCCAGAGGATAGAACAAACATTATTTATATGGGGGTTAGTTTATGAGGATTAACCTCTTCAGGTCTTTGTTCTAACTCACATGCCTCTCAGGGAAGGGCAGGGGATAAAGAAGCAGTGATGTGATTTGGTTTTCAGGTGGAAAGAGCAATAAGAATTGTGATGAAAACAGCAGAGAGAAATGAATCCACAATGCCTATCGCAAGAGATTACCAATGAGAAATAAAATAGACAATCTAAACAACAGCCCAGTTCACAACACCCTCCTTCTAGCTGGATGGAGGATCAAAGACTGTATCTATAAGTTATACTCTGTCATGTAGAAATTTTCTATTTCACCTAATATGTACCTCAAGCAGGGAGGAGCAGTGGGTATTTGGAAAACTGCATGGAGGTGCACCAACAAGAAGCTGTGGCAAGACATATAGCATATTACATTGTGAGTTATGATAAAAATATATATATTTGCTCTTTGTCCTATTCCTGTAGCTTCTAAAAGCATTGCAATTTTTATTGATGAAGCTGATGGAGTATCTTTTATTGTTTCATGTTCTGTCTTCAGTTCCTGAAACAGCTCCAGAGCGATCAAAGTGAAAGCAGGGCCCATGTCATTCATCACAAGCCCCTTTCAATCACACGTGAGTTCATGTTATGAGGTATTTTTAAAAAGCCCATAGATACTCACAGAGTCTGGTTACCAGGGAATAAATATAAGATTAAAGAGTTGAAACTGGGGCCTCCCTGGTGGCGCAAGGAGTTAAGATGCAGCACTATGAAGTAATCCACAGCTGCTGCAGCACAGAGTTCAATCCCAGGCCAGGGAGGTGACCCACATCCTCTCCTGTCTCACCCACTGCTCCCCTCAGCAGTATGTATTTCAGTACATCTGCCTGTTCTTCTCCCCATTCTGTCTCTGGTGAATCCTCTCAGCCCCCACATCTCTGGCCTGCACCCCAGCTCTTGAATGCATAAATAAATAAATCTTTAAAAAAAAGAGTTGAACTAAAGCCTCTTTGCATAATCTCTGGGAAGGAAGAGGGCTGAAGGTTGCAACATCATCAACAACCAAAGTAAAGTTTCCATAAGCAAACCCAACTGAAGGGGTTCATAGAATTTCTGGGTTGGCGAATATGTGGAGGTGCTCAGAGGGCAGCATACCCAGAAAGGTCAAGGAAGAGCCCCCACCCCTTCTTGATTCCTTGCTCTGTGCATTTTTTCTCTTTTGCTGGGTTGTGTCCCTTTTTAATAAACTAGTAATTTAGTAAGTAAATTGATTTTACTGAGTTCTATAGACATTCTAGCAAATTACTGAACCTACAAAAGAATTAATGAAAATTAAAATGCAATCACCACTTCATATCAGGAGACATATACCTATATTTAGCAAAATAAAGCAAACCTAGCCAGATGTCACCAGTGTGGGAGTCTAGGTAAAGGCACACAACTTTTACTGCAATTGTTGTCAAGGCAAAGGTCAGTTTAAAAACCTAATTACTGGGGGCCTCCCTGGTGGCGCAGGTGGTTGAGTGCAGCACTGTAAAGCTGTCCGCAGCCTCTGCAGTGCTGGTTCAATCCCCACCGGCCACAGAGACACCCACATGGCGTGACAGACCTCTCCTGTCTCATCCGCGGCTCCCCTCAGCAGTGTATTTCATCAGTCTGCCTGTTCTTTTCCCCATTCTGTCTCTGGTGTATCTTCTCACCCTCCTGCACATCTGGCCTGTACCCCAGTTCTTGTATAAAATAAATAAATCTTTAAAAAATAAAAATAAAATAAATAAAAACCTAACTATTGAAAGTACAATTATTCCATGGGGCCCTGGTACATTTTTGATTACCATTAAATTAAAACTTTTTCTATAGCAGCTATCATATTTTTTTAAATCAGGATATATAAACTTATTATTACTGCTGCATGTCTCAAATAATCAATTTCATATTTTATGTTAAATATTCAAGATGTATTTAATACCATAAAAAACATCAATTTTATCAGTTATTACCTGTGTCCCAAAACAAGATTCTCACCTATCCAAGACTAAGTTTTTAAAAGTAATTTTGGGGGTGTAGTGTGAGTAAAATCATATTGTTACAGGGCAGGTATGGTAGCCAGTGCCATAGGGAAGCCAAATTTCCCCATGGGGCTGACTAACCATGGATGGCTCTATCCTAAATCACGTTGGGTGTCAATCTGTTACAGGGCAGGGAGAGGGGCAGCCCAAACCCTGCAAACCTGCCTATTCTAAATGGGTTCTGCCATCCACAGCATCAACACATATGAGACTTTAATGGGAAGGAATTTAATACAACTAGGAAACAATACAGGAAAGGCAAAGAAACTAGTTTCTAAATCAAGCACCCAAAGTTACCCAAAGTGGGTAAAACTCCATCCAAGTGGGATTGGCCCAGAGCAAGGCCCCAAAGCCTGCCACAAGTCTAAAGCATCTTACAGTGGGGACCCACAGAAAAGGGTCAGAAACAACCAGACAAGCCCAGAAGGAAAAGAGCAAAATCAAAATCAAGGTAAAAGCTGCCATAGACACCTCCCCACGGGTCTCACCCACATCTGTGTCACCCAGTCCACGAACAAAAGGCAAGCAGTTTCTTCACATGTCTCTCCATTCCTTGTGCCTCCTCCAGGTCTCCTCCTGGCTCTCCGTCCTGCTTCCTTCCTTCCTCAGTCTCCTCTGCAGCTTCTATCTCTCCCTTCTTAGCTCCACCCTCCATTTGGGTGGGGCAGGGAACCTGGAACCTCCCCCTTTCCTGGGGACCACCCTGTTACAATATGAAGGATGTTTTGATAATTAAATTCGATACACTTATGTCTTACATAGCATGCAATACAAATAGTGTTATGTGGTGTAAAGGAAACCAGGACACCAAGGCTAAAAAGAGGCAGGTTTATTGTAAGGGTGTTTGGCTCAGCAGATCTATAGCCAAAGGCTGAGTGCCCCTCCAAGGACCTTATGACCTTACATACATTTTGGCTTGTGCTGAGTGGGTTAACATTGCAACTGTTCCAGGGCAGATAAGACATGAGTCAACAGTCCAAGAAATGTATCAAGTTGTTATCACAGGATCCTGGGCTGCCCTGCTCAGGAGCTTTGCTTCAATAGGAGTACAGTCCACAATTGTCAACTTGATGGAGTTTAATTTACAATAATTGCATGAGAAATTGGCCAATTGGATTATTCATTTCAGCATAATCTACAAAGTGTATTATTAGAAAACAAAATCAACAGGTGAAATGTTTTTATCAGAACAAAACAGTGAGCACATTCAAACATTTTTCTTGGGCCACATCCTATTTTTTTTCTTCAGTGTGAGAATGTGCAGGTAAAGCAAGAGCTGCTACCAGCTACATTGTAATGATTGGAACTGCCCATTCCACTCCTCAGAGACATTCAAGTGGCAATATTTTTTCTTTTGTATTTATTTTTTTAAATAAATTTTATTTTTATATTCCCCATACAATTGCAACCCCCTTATTTTGACCCCAATCCCTCCCCGCCCCGCCCCCCCACCCCTCACAGAGTGTCTCTGGTTCATAGTTTTTTGTTGATTTTGATTTTCACTTTCTTATAGTTATTCATTTTCCTGGTCCCTTATTTAAGTTTTCTAGATTCCTGCTATGAGTGAGACCATCTGGTATTTTTCTTTTTCTTTCTGACTTATTTCGCTGAGCATGATCCCTTCCAGCTCCATCCATGTTGCTGCAAACTGTATGTGTTTGTCTTTTTTGAATGCTGAGTAATATTCCATGGTGTATATGTACCACATCTTCTTGATCCAGTCATCTATTTTTGGGCATTTGGGTTGTTTCCAAAGCTTAGCTATTGTAAACAGTGCTGCTATAAACATAGGGGTGCAGGTGCTCTTTGGAATTGATGTTTCTGTGTCCTTTGGGTAAATACCTAGGAGTGGAATTGCTGGATCATATGGAAGCTCTATGTATTTAAATGTGAGTGATTAACCTTTTTGTTATTGTTATATTTGTTGAGGTAATGTTGATTTAAATCACATAGGTCTTTGGGGACCAGGTTTACACATTACAAATGTATGTTATTTCACCACACCCACAACCAAAACCCTAGTAATCCTCCATTAGACCTCCTACTCCTTTGTTCCCAGCCCTCCACAGTCCCCTTCCAGTAGCTGAGTCAGTCTACAATGCTCTCTTCCCCACTGTTTTCTCCCCTCCCCCCGCCACCTCTTTTAGGATGCCTCATACATTTTGGTTTTTTTTCTCTATATTCTGCATAAAGTGAAACCATCCTATCACTTAGCTACTAGAAACCACTTTACAAAACCAGATCTGGGGTTTTTAGCTATGAATGAGCAACTGAACTTTTAGCTTCAAATTAACACAGTGCAACTATTCTATACTGTTCAGGACTAGTTTTCCACTTCTAATCTGCATAAGGATCATGTGGAGGGATTGATAAAGCCAGATTCTATATTTTAATAAAGATGTGAGTCACTCCAATGTTCCTATAAAAACCAAACCAACATAAACCAGGGTGAGGGAGACGGACAGACACAGAAATAGTAGGAAATTATAAAGAGAGGAGAGATGGGAACAGGGACAAAGGAAAGAGAGTTTTGATAAGACAGTTAAGATGTTTTTAACTAATAAAGATGAGTAATGTGGGCCCAATTTAATCTACATGGAGATTTAAAACTCTCACTTTAAGTTCTCTGAAGAATGACAAACAGAAAGATTCAAAAGAAACTATCTCTTAGATTCCAATTGCACGGAAACGCTTTGACCGGCACCTCCCTGGTGTCTGCAGCATCTAGTGCCTGCCCCAGGCATCTAGTGCCTGCCAGCACTGACAGCAGGGCCGATGTCCCCAGGCTTTTCCCGCTGAGCTGGCTGCTGCCCTGAGCTGACATTCCAGGAGCAGCACACCCAGGGCAGCACCACAGGTCTGGCTGCTAAATTACAGGTGCAGTGCAACTTCAAATGGAGAAGCTGAGCATCCCCAGAACTAAAACCCCCAGCAAAGCCCCCTACAGGACAGACAGTAGCAACTGCCCTTCCCTAGCTTTTCCTCCCTTGTCTCTTCAATCAGAACAAGTTCCAGACAAAGTTACATGTCCCAGGACATACCTGTTGTGTAGCACCACGGGTCCAAGAACAGGTCTCTCCTGGCTCTCAGCCCCTGCTCACCAGTCGTTGCTTGCCTCCTTTATATAAACTAAATAGAAAGCGGAAGTTTACCATTGCTGCAAGTCAAATGATGGCAGGAAGCTGAAATTGAAAGGAAAAGTAATTTTTGGTATTTTCAGTTAGGTGAGTCACGCACATTGGCAGACTAGAGGCTGGGTATGGTGTTCAGTGCACGGGGAGAGAGATTAGAAAAAATCATGGACCTTCAGTCACCCTGGAGGAAACTCCCTCCGTCAGGGACGGTTCCACTCCCTCCTGGGAAACATTCCTGGTCTCCTTCTAGATGTTGAAAGGTCGATGCAGGGGCCAGAAATGAGGAAGCCCACATAGAAACAAGATGACCCTGACGCCAGGACCACTGATACCATCAAACCTCAACTGAAGCCATAAACAGGAGAAAACAACTTTGTTCCGCCTAAACCTGTTTCCCCCCCCTGCCAACCCAGTTTTCCTGCCTGACCTCTCCTCACCCTATAAAAGGGACATCTCTCCTCACAACAGGCGTGGCTTATGGACCCCCACCTTGGGTCTGTGAGGTCTGCCTGGGGCACAATAAATTTTCCCTTCCTTTGAGAAATTTAGCCTGGCTCTCCTTTTCTTTACCCTGCCAAACCTTCCAGATGTCACTCTCCATTGGCTTAAGAAAAACAAAAAATTTGCAGACAAATGTAAGCAAAACTGTCTAACAGGAATATTGCAAAGAATTTTTTCTTATTGGGTTTCCTGGGTATATTTATTAGTGAAGGGTTTTTAACATTTAAAATATGTCATATATACATTTAATTATATTTGTATATAATTACATAGAACATACTATCTATAATTGTGTGATATACAAAATATACCTTAGAGAATTATGTGTTTATATGTTTATATTTATATATAAATATATATTTAATTACCTGGTTTAGATAAGTATATGAAAGTACTTTTTATAATAAAAAAATTAGGAAATAAAGATTAGTAAAAACGAAAAATGAATAACCCCAACTACATTTTTCTGAGAGGCTCGCTATTAGTGGTTTTCCTCACATTCCTATAGTTTCCTAAAACATGACCCCTTCCCCTTACTAAAGCAGACTCTTTTCTATATAAATGGAGCAGTAGCAGAGGAATTTATTGACTAGGGGAAGTGACTCAATGTGGCTGTGTAGATGTGTGAGGAAACGTGTGCACAATCAGAGCTGTGGAGGAAATGCCTGAGGGTGAGGGTTAGTGTCCTACTCTCCCTCTGTTAGGGAGAAGGGATGGCCTGAGCTAATTCCATACAGGCTTTGTAACACCTCCTCTTCCCCTTTTCCCTCACCATCTATCCTTGGGGTCCATGGAAACTTTTCACCAAAGGCCAGAGAGTAAATATTTTAGGATTAGCAGTTCATAGTGTCTGTTGCACTCCTGAGGAGACCATGTGTGGGCAGCAGATAAGAAGTGGGAGAGGGGCCTCCCTGGTGGCGCAGCGGTTGAGCGCTGGGTTGCGAAGCTGCCCTCAGCCTCTGCAGCGCCGGTTCGATCCCCGGCTGCTCCCCAGCCACCGGAGGAGGGTCCCACATGGCGCGCAGACCTCTCCTGCTGCCCGCTGCTCCCCTCAACAGTGTACTTTGGTCCTTCTGCCTGCTCTGCTCCCTGCTCTGGCTCTGGTGAATTCTCTCACCCTCCCGCACTTCTGACTGTACCCACTGCTTGTAAAAACAAACAAATAAATAAACAAATAAATAAATAAAAATACATGCCTCTTAAAAAAATATATATAAAAAAAAAAAAGAAGTGGGAGAGGCTGCATTCCTTCCAGGCCCTTGCTGGAAGGGGGCGGGGACCAGGTCTGGCCCAAGGTCTTACTTGGCTCCCCACTGGCTCAGGTGCATGTGATCCACATGCTAAGGGGCATCATGGGGTGATCACCTTGTGTTTCCTTGTCTTATAGGTAATGGTCTAACTTCAGAACCTCTATCTGTGTCTGCTTCTAGGGACAGGTGGGTCAAAATTTTATCAGAAGTCTTATTTTGGAGCACAGACACAGAAAAGGAGTATGTTTACTGTAGTGGGGAGAAGATCAGGTGAAAGAATTGGGGGTGAAAGAATTCATCAGAGACTGAGTGGAGACCAGAACAGGAGGATTTATTGAAACACACTGCTAAGAGGAGCAGCAGGTAAGACAGAATTCTATGCCCTAAGGAGGATTTGAGACTCTCTTTTATCCTGTTGTCACGGGCTTTCTAACTTGGGGTGCCAGTTTGCTCCAGTTATCTACTGAGATGTATGGTCTCTGGTACTGGCCCTTGACACAGAAGCATGTTCTGGCCTCTGCTTCTGCATTCCTAGAGCTGGGCTGGTTTTCAGGTCATGGTGGTCAGTTTTATGGCCTTTCCCCCAAGCCTTATTCATTTGCTCATCTATGCCAGCCTCCTAAAGCTCTCTGCTGGGTCAGGAGTAGGGGCTTAGTTTTTAATCTTATTGAATTGTATTTACTCCACCTGCATGAGTTCTTACTGGGTACCTGGAATGCACCCACACAGCG